CCCCACCCCCACCCCCACCCCCCCACCTACCCCACAGCCATTCAGACTGAAATTCAAAAGCTTAGCATGTCTTTGGAGGGTCTTGGCTTTTAAAACCTCCACTGTTTTGTTTGTAAACCAGCATGGAGATGTATCTGGACTGCAAAGCTCCAGACAATCATTAAATGATTCAAAAGATATACTCTTTCCTGCCATCCAGTGGCCATCCAGATTTTTGCAGCCCAGATATGGTAGCCCCACTCCAGAATTACTGGAATTTTGACTCTCAGAATTGCCAGCCATTATGACTAACAATCAAGTTTCCTAGAGTTCTGAAAGTTATAGTCCTATTATATCTGGAGGACACTAAGAAGTAGAAAAATTTGCATCAAAAATGGAATGCCATGAAAAATACTTGTACTTGAGAACATAGGAAGCTGCCTTATAAATAAGACCAGTGATTGCTCTAATCTAATCTCCTCTGACTGGTAATGCATCTCAAGAGAGATCTCACATGTTCCTTACTATTTATTCTTATTTAACTGGAGATGTTGCAAGTTGACCTTGAAGCTTCTTGCCTACAGAGTATATACTCTTCTACTAAGCTTTGGTTTGTTTAAGAGGAAGAGACATAAAATTGGTGTTATTGTAATGGTTTCTTCCTTCCAGTTCTTCCACTTTTGTAAAGTTGCACCTTAGCCCTTTAGCCCTCATCCCCAACCAAACCAAATAGTTACACCCAGCATTTCCTTTCATATCACTACATCCTCTCCTTTCTCTGTGTGTGTGAGCTCATGCCACTCAATAACAATGAATCAATTAAACAAGAATTGTTTATGCTAAACAAAGAATAAAAGTAGCTATGGCCAAATTGAACCCTCTGTCTCTCTAACTTATCAGAGATTCTTCAGCACCACCATCATGGAGAAAAGGGATGTTTTTATCCAGATAGCCAAATTGTTTCATACCACCTATTATATTTACATTATGTTTTCTTTAAATGTACAGAGGAGAATGATAAAGGACAACTCCCAAGAAAACGGCGCCGGAAGAAAAAACAGAAAAATGTTTTTCAAACTCCTGCCGATGTACATGGAAGTCCAGCAAAATGTGGAGTGCCTGAAAATCTGATTGGAGATAACTTGCAACTGCAACACCGGGATAGCCCAAACTTGAGTCAAAACAAAAAGAGGAAAATGAAAAAAAAGCGGCGAAAAGAAAAGATGAGAGCAGCTGGCTTGCTAAGAAGACCCGTTGGTACTGATTTCACATATATGCCTGAAGAAAAGAGAGAAAGAGAGTTTGAAGTTGCAGATAAAGTAGATGACATTCTGGATTTTTTGCAAGCAACACAGGAAATCTACTTTTCTGACAGTAGGCATATTTTATCACGTATGTCAATAGGGGGAAAATGTATTTTTCTCTTTTAAATGCAGGGAGGGAAAAAGACTGATGGTTTTATGGTCTGAATTTGAGAAAGAAAGGATATACATTCATTCATTCATTCATTCATTCATTCCTACTGGGCCTGTGCAAAATGATTTAGATTCACTTTGCAGGTTAAGGGAAAGGGAAGAGTTAGGGTGATTTGCCTCCACAAAGCCTTTTAGGTCACCTTGGGGCCAGAGGCAAGGAAGGAGAGTCCTGTCAGCCTTTTCCCCGAGTGTGAACTGAGGGCTCTCAGATGGGTCACATCAGGCTGTACTGTGGGGATTTCTGTTTGGCAAAACCACCCAACCTGGAACCACTTCAGTCAGGACTGCAGGAGAAGACTTCTCTTTCAGCCTCCTTCCACAGTGCTTTGCTCTTAGAAAGGAAGGAATAACATAGCTTTATGAAGCAGCTTTGAGGGGATGCTTTGCTCAAAACAATTTTGATGCTCAACTCCTCCCCCCTTTTGAAAATTTACTCAGCCCTAGTTCCTGTACTCAGGAACCAAGAAGACTTTTCCACTGTCCTTGGTAATTAGGCGTTGTTCATTTATTTATCAAATTTATAAGATCACCCAACTCATAATGACTCTGGGCAGCCTACCAGCTAAAAACATACCGAATATAATAAAAGAGAAAAAGAAGGCAATAACCTGGAAACCAACATAACTAACGCATTGATACAATTCCCTCAGAAGGGACATACTTCCTTAACCCACTGTCTGAGAAGACACCTGGTCTTCAGGGCCTGTTTAGAGGATAGCAGGGATGGGGGTCACTCAAACCTCCAAGATGATATCATTCTAGAGAACATGTGCTACGGCAGAAAAGGTGTATTTCTAGGTCCTATTGGATCACACTTGTTTAAAGATGGGACTGGGACTGTGTCAGATCTTTGTCTCAAATAGCCAGGCCCTATGCCACGAAGGGCTTTATAGGTCATAGTAGCTTACTGGCAACTGTGCCGCTCATGCAGCAGAAGAGAAATACAATGGGAATTTGGGAGTAGGCCATTCATGGGAAAGCAAAGTCAGTGCTTAAAATCACTTCCACCTTTGAGCCACAGCACCAAGTCTCTGTATCCTCAGTAGCTCTGACCTCTGGCTGTTGCTGCCTAACACCAGGTTGGTCTTAATAAAGCTGCCCTCATCCATGACCTTATTCTGGAGGAGTGGCCAACCTGACATGTATTACCAAGGCCTGATGGGCTCATATGGGGGTGGTGGTTCTTCTGATGATTTCAAGTATGGCACCAATCATGAAACCAGGGTAGGATGGGAGGGATAGTTGTTGTCATTCAGGAAGTCTTAACAGCTTTTGGTGGCATTGCAGCACAGATAACTAAAAGGGAGTTCCTGTCGTTGAAATTGGGTTTGTTGCTGCTATACCGGTGACATTCCTGCTGGAACTCCTCAGTTCCATCACTGGGTTGGCAGTGGAGTCTCTGAGACTATTAGTTCTTAGGGATGTTACATCAAGTCTGGAAATTTATGGCAACTGGGACTTATGGGGAAGATATGGTAGACTGAAGACAGCTCCACAAAAAGCAGAGCTGATTACCTCAGCAGAGTGAAGAGCCGTCGAATGCACCGGCTCTTTGTAATTCCTCTCTGGACAAGGAGAGGACT